CAGGGTTGACTCAGCCTTCCATCCTTCCGAGGTGGGTGAAATGAGGACCCGGACTGTGGGGGCAATATGCTGACTCTCTGTAAACCGCTTAGAGAGGCCTGAAAGGCCTATGAAGCGGTATATAAGTCTACTGCTATTGCTATTGCTATTGCTATTTCAGAGCGCAGGTGACATTATATTGCCTCCCACTATGCTTACTTTCTTAAAAAGCTTGCCAGGGCCTGATGAACAAAGCTTATGCCAGAGGCTCGTGTTTTGCGTTGCAGCATGCAAGCTTCCAGTGAAACTTTAGCTTTTAATTAGAAAACATTAAGTGAAGGAGAGAGCCTATTAAGTGGTGCCAAAGGAGGTGCTGCCAGCGCATGGAACATTTGGATGGGGGTGTGTGTGTGAGCGGTTTGTGTAGGTATAGAAGAGTTTGGAATAAATAAACGCGGGAGATAAAAGGATGGAGGATGGGGGAATAGTTGTTTGCATGCTTGAGTATATCTGAAATTATGAATTAGAGGTTTTGACTCTAAACTCACTGGCTAGCTTTAGTCAAGCCATTGTCTTTCAAGCCTCTTTATGGGGGGATAATTAAAAACCTTGTTTTAGAGAGCGAAGGTAATGATGGCTAAAATAATAACCCTGGTACAGATTGTACACTTCACAAAAGGTTCTCCGATTGTTAAACCGTAAATTACGCCAAAAGTCTGCTCAGCCTTTAAATGGTTTTAATAACCCGTGTGTGTTCATTTTCTCACAGGCCACCTAATACTTACTTCTTCCTACGGACTGCTTCATCTGGCCTGAGCTTTCTATTGAGTTACTCAGTGGGGGTTGCTTTTTCCTAATTTCAGTACATGAACCGTGAATTGTATATATGTGTTGACCACCTAAAGACCTTTATCCTCTGATGCGTCTCTCTCTCTTTTCTTCTTCTTCCATTAGTGTGTACGTGGGCAGTCTATTTGTTAACCACCTCAAAAGAAGTTCAGCAAAAGCTCTATAAGGAGTTGGATCAGGTTCTTGGGAAGGGCCCGGTTACACCCGTCAAAATTGAACAACTTAGGTGTGGGTCTGTTTTTATACTCGTTTTTACTAATTGTGTTTTTATTTTCCATTTCCATTTTCGTACAGTCACGTATATACTGTGCAGAACCGGGGGCCATATAACATTAAACAATAAACACAGCCATTCCTCTTGTCAATAATACCCCCCAAAATAGAAACCCAATGTACCTCTTCGACCCTCCATACACCCTTTCTTTCGCCCCCCTCCAACTTTCATTCGAATGGTATGATTGTTGTGCTTTTAACTATGTATGTTTTTATGTTTTTGTAACTCTGTTTGTATTTCCCCTCCCTTTTTGAGTTGTGAGCCGCCCTGAGTCCCTTCTGGGAAAAGGGCGGCATACAAATAAATTAAACCAAACTAAACCTAACCAAACTTTCCATCTTCCCTCCATTATTCCCCTCTACCCTACTTCCCTTCCCCCTCTACCACTCCTCTCTCCCGATACACTCCCTCCTTTCCTTCTCACCCTCGTTTTTTAGTGTCAGCAAATGTTCATACTCCTGATCACTTAACAAGAGAAGGGGAGGACTCTTTGTTTTCCTTCTTCTTGCCCTATCAATTTCTCACCACTTTTTAAAATCCATTTGAACCCTAGTAGGGTATTATATTGCTAATGTGCTTAACTAAATTGTTTAAATTGTTGTATTGTCTTATTTATCCCCCTTCCCTTTTTATTGTAAGCTGCCCGGAGTCCTTCGGGAGTGGGCGGCGTACAAAACTAATAAACTAACTAGCTAACTAAACCAACTTAAGATAAGAGTTTGCCATGTGAGCTAACCAACCCATTCCATTCCCGTGTATAAAGTAGTCCCCAATTTACGACAACAATTGAGCCCAACATTTCTGTTGTTAAGTGAGACACTTATTAAGAGAGTTTTGCCCCATTTTATGACCTTTCCTGCCACAGTTATTAAGCGAATCTCTGCAGTTGATAAGTTAGTAACCTGGCTGTTAAGTGAATCTGGCATCCCCATTGATCTTGCTTTTCAGAAGGTTGCAAAAGGTGGATCACATGACCTTGGGATACAGGATAAGGTCATAAGTACGAACCAGTTGCCAAGCATCTGAATTTTGATCACGTGATCATGGGAGGGCTGCAAAGGTTGTAACCGTGAAAAACGGTCATAAGTCACTTTTTCAGTGCCATTGTAACTTTGAAGAGTCACTGAATGTAGTGTTATAAATTGAGGACTACCTGTATCTTATATCCTGTACCCAGCGGATGGGGCAATACTTAATGGGGTGTTTGAGGGCAACAATAGGCAGAGCAGTGAATCAAAATGGGTGAGGCCAAGACACATTCATGAGAGGCTGGGATTTTCTGGGATATTCCCCTCCCTCCCCCCCCCCCAATTTTGGGTTTCCTTTATTTGTAAAACTACGCTAAACGTTTTAAAACAGAGGAAAACTGTTTTAAAAGGGGTGTTGAGATCTAAATGGCCCGTGAGTGGCACTGCACTTTGATTTAGAACAGAGATGGAAGAGAAGTGCAATTTGCTAGGGGTGGAGAAGAGGTGCCTCTGCCAACAGGCAGATGTGCCTCTGCGCGCCACATGGGGCTACCCTTGAAAAGTGTTTGGAATGTTGAATGAATGTTGAATGTTTATTTTATTTATATGCTGCCCTTTTCCCCGAGGGGGACTCAGGGTGTCTCACAACTCAAACCAGGGAAGGGGGATACCAAACAAAAATTAAAAACGACACAAAACAATGCATAATTTAAAACACACAACAGTCATACCATTCGAGACGGGGGCAACAGCTCTTTAGCCCCAGGCCTGTCAGAACAGCCAGGTTTTAAGGGCTTTGCGGAAGGCCTGGAGGGTGGTGAGGGTTCAAATCTCCACGGGGAGTTCGTTCCAGAGGGTCGGAGCAGCCACAGAGAAGGCTCTCCTCCGGGTAGTCGCCAGTCGACACTGGCCGGCGGATGGAATTCGGAGGAGGCCTAGTCTGTGGGATCTAATCGGTCTTTGGGAGGTAATTGCAGCAGGCGGTCTCTCAAGTACCCAGGTCCAATACCATGAAGGGCTTTATAAGTGACGACTAGCGCCTTGAAGCGTATCCGGAGACCAATAGGCAGCCAGTGCAGCTCGCGGAGGATAGGTGTTTGGAGACTGCAGCTAGTCCAGAATGCAGCCGCGCAAGCGATATTGGGTGTACCTAGGTACACCCACGTTACACCTATCCTCCGCGAGCTGCACTGGCTACCTATTGGTCTCCGGACGCAATTCAAGGTGTTGGTCATTACCTTTAAAGCCCTACATGGCTTAGGGCCAGCATACCTGCGAGACCGCCTACTGCCACATACCTCCCAGCGGCCGGTGAAATCCCACAGGTTGGGCCTCCTTCAGATACCGTCAGCCAGACAATGTCGGCTGGCGGCTCCCCGGAGGAGAGCCTTCTCTGTGGCTGCTCCGACCCTTTGGAATGAGCTACCCCCAGAGATCCGGACCTTACCCACTTTCATGGCCTTCCGAAAAGCTGTTAAAACCTGGCTATTCTGGCAGGCCTGGGGCTGTTGACCTCACTGTTGAGGTCCAGCCCCAATCAGAACATATGCATGTGTTTGTGATTTTAAATCTGTATTTTTATTTTTATTATTTCTTTCCTCTTCTTTTTGTAAGCCGCCCGGAGTCTTCCGGGAATGAGCAACCTATAAATTTTATTATAGGAGCCGAGGTGGCCCAGTGGGTAGAGTGCAGGCCACTTCAGCTGACTGCTATCAGCAGTTCAGCGGTTCAAATCTCACCGGCTCAAGGTTGACTCAGCCTTCCATCCTTCCGAGGTGGGTAAAATGAGGACCCGGATTGTTGTTGGGGGCGATATGCTGACTCTGTAAACCGCTTAGAGAGGGCTGAAAGCCCTATGAAGCGGTATATAAGTCTAACTGCTATTGCTATTGCTATTACTATGGAGAGCACCAGTCAGAAGCTTTACATCATTATTTCCAGATAAGGCCACAGAAGAATAATTTTGGCCTCAAAATTTGAATTCCACAGGCTAGAAGAAAACCCTGTAATGCCTCCAAATGGCAACCTTTAATCTTATTCTGCCAAGTAGAGGCAGGACTGGGGAGTTGAAATGAAGACATTGATTTTGAAAATACCATATAATTGATTGAAATAAAATTAACCAAACAGCTTTAAATAATAATAATAATAATAATCTGGCTCTGGAAACTGTGCAAATACATTCTTCATTCCACATCAAAGACATTTGGGGGCAGGGGGGGCCTAGGAGATGAGTTCTGATTGCCCCCTCCTTCCGCAAAACAGCTATACGAGCATCAGACAGGCACTGCCATTTTCCGACACAATCCAACTCTTTTAACTCTGCTAATTAAAACAAATTAAGGGGCACATCAAACAAAACAGCTTTCCAGGCGTTGCTATTCCCCTGCGGAATATGGTTGGCCTTTTAAAGGGACCATGATGAGGTCCAACCAGCAGATAACTTGATGGGTTGAACAATAGAAGGTTTATTGCCCAATGAAATATCAAGTTAATGAAAAACACACATGTGCTACAGCACAGATTTTAATAAATATTGGGTGTGTGTGTGGAGTTATGTGAAAGTAAATAAAGAAAGCCTCCTTTTGATGGCTTCGTCCGTCCTTTCATTACGAAAACCCTACTGTTAGTTTTAGGCGAGGCTGAATAATGGCTTGTTTGCCCCCCCCCCGTCCTTCCCAACAGCGAAACATGCTTTTCTTTCTAATGAATCATCCGCCGCTGAGCACACATTCGCTTGCAGGCCAGCTGGATTGAGAAAAAAAATGGAGGCGGCCTGGCGCAAGCAGCAGAGAGGGAGGAAAAGGGGAAAGAGATAACGGCTCTGTCTCTCACCCAATTTGTGCCAAATCAGAAAATGTACACTGGGTGGATGCAGGTGGCCGTGGGTATTCTCTGCCGAAGAGCTGCTTAATTGCCAATCCACATTTCTCGTAGCTCCATTTAAAAGGCGTGGGTGGCTTTTGATCTCTTTCTTTTCTTTTCTTTTTCGATAGATTTGATCCAGGTAGATTCAGCGATGAAGCTGCTATAAAAAACTTCTCTCTCCTGGGTTTTTCAGGAAGTCAGGAATGCCCTGAACTGAGGTGAGAGAAAATTAATATATATATATATATATTTTAAAAAAAGGTGGGAGGGAGGAGGTGATGTGCTGTAAATGGAGGGGAGAAAAAGCAATACTCTCTTCTTCTCGTAGCTATTCTGGGATCTGTAAAAAGCCTCTTATGTACTTAGAAGATAGAACGCAGAATAATAGGGTTGGAAGGAATCTTGGAGATCTTCTAGAAAAGCATCCAGAGCAGTGGTGGGATTCAAATAATTTAACAACCGGTTCTCTGCCCAAATGACCATCTGGGTAGGTGGTGCTCGGTGGTCATGTGATCATGTGGGCGTGGCCAAGTCAATGTCGCTCAAGTCGATGGGCGCTTCGCCTTAGCTGTTACAATGGTAATAAGGGTTAACTGGAGAGGCAGT